ACCGCAGCCCCGCAGCCCTGTGCGCATGCGCGCGCGCCCAGCAGCAGCCTTGGCTTGGGGATGGCGTCTGCCCAGGACGGAGGCTCGGGAGCTTGAAGCTGGGGATTGTGGGAGATCAACAGAGGAGGAGAGAGACGGTGTGACGCCAACGGAAGGAGAATGAAAGGGGAAGGGAGGAAAAGAGCGGAGACAGAGGTGCCGTGTAGGAGGGCAGACTCCCTTGGTCCCTTGGCCCAGTGCAAACCATAGGTTGAAATCGCCCCCCCGACACACACACATACAAGCCTTAAAGTTGTCTGTGTTCGCTGGGCACAGTCCCCGGAGCCCCTCTGTCCGAATAAACGTCCCGGCTGTCCTCTCCTTCAGCGTCTGACGTGTCTTCCCTCTGATGAACCCAGGCGTCCGCCTTCGCCCCCTAGGCTTGGGCTCCATCAACTTAGCGGCAGGCCGAGCATCTCCCCAGAGACCTCGAGAGCCCTGTGCTTCTCAGTTGCACCTATGAAGGGAACCCAAGATGGGAGATGGCCTGCAGGGGCCCGTGGGTGTTGCAGACACCTGGAAAGCCAGGGCGGTGTGGTATGCACTTCTCTCACAACCACCAACTCCCTCTGCAAGTCCGGGGTAAAGGCACGAAGTGTATGTATGTGCGTGTGCGTGTGCGCATGTGTGTGAATCTGTTCAGGAAGGTGAGAGCAATGGGAGCTGAAGATGGCAAGTCTGAAGAAATGATGGACGTTCTCTGGACCTCGGCAAGAGACTGCTTTGATTTGCATCTTTCTTTTTTTTCTTAAGACAGGGTTTCGCTAAGTTTCCTGGGTGCACTGTCCTCTCACTGGCAGTTCTCCTGCCTCAGCCTCCCAGAGTGCTGGGATTATAGGTGTGCACCACTATGTCTGGCTTGCATCCATTTTTTTTTTCAAACAATGGATACTTTTTAATAAAACGTTAAGATACCGTTTCTCTCTAGAGAGATGGAAACTTGTTCACTAGGAATAGAGGCAATTAATGGAGGTATTAAAGTAGTAATCCCCAGTATCTAAATGGATTCATAGGTGTGTGTGTGTGTGTGTGTGTGTGTGTGTGTGTGTGTGTATCCATTCAAATTGAAGATATGGGAAAATAAGGAAACATACAAATTTTACGTAGACATCATAATATCAATATCATAAGCTTACCACAAAAGTAGAAAAACATACATTTTACTTTGAATATTGATGTAAAATTCTTAACAAAATACTAGTGAATAAAATTCATCTGAGTATTGAAATAATAATAAAATATTTGAACGAAGTGCGGTTCACCTCTAGTAATCCACAACTATCTGAAGGTCAACATAATTATGGTGTTTTTCTTTTTTCTATCAGTATACGTTTGGGATGCAACCTCACTATGTAGCCCATGCTGGCCTAGAATTTTCATCAATCCTCCTGTCTCAGCCTCCTGAGTGCTAGGATTACAGGCACATGCCACTATAACTGGTTAAGCTTTTTTATTTTTACTTCTTTATACAATATATTCTAGATTTTTAAATATTTGAGGTATAGCTAGTTAAATTTTTTTTTACTCTCTTGATTTCCTTTGCTATGTGGAAGGCTTAATTTTATGTAATTCCATTTGTTGATTTTTGGTGTTATTTTTGTGCAACTGAGTTTCTTCTAGGTTCTCCCATTTATTGGAGTATAATTTTTGGAAGTAGTTTCTCATAATTATCTGGATTTTGATGGCAGCCACTGCTGATTTTGCCTCATTTCTAAGTGCATCAGTAGGGGTTTCTTCCCCCACTTTCTTGGTAAATTAAACCACATTTTTAGTAGCAACTGAACTTTAGGTTGCATGAGCACTGTTAGAAACATTTCTAGTCAGGTAAGTACATGATTATGTAAACTAAGATCACACATCTTGCCCATCCTGACTGCACACCCCAGAGGGCCACACAGCATCCACCACATAGCCGGTGCTCCACTGCGTCTGCTCCTCACCCCCACAGGCTGTCAGGCCTGCTAGGATTGTCACTCACAGTGTCGTGGACCTAGATGTTGGCACAGTGGGTTCCTTCTCAGTCACACAGGGGCTCTGCGCTGAGCTGCTCCTTGGCTCGGAGACAGACATTCTCCGTGCCCCTTGTCTTCCTTCTGCATCTCTGGATCCAAACTTCCCTGCTATAAGGACATCAGTCATATTGGGTTTAAGGCTCACCCTAGTAACTCCATTTTAGGGGAAGACCCTTTCTCCACCTAAGATCACACTCTGAAGCACTGGATGTAGGACTTCAATATAGAGTTTGGGGAACAAGTTTAGCTTATAGTAGAGATCCTCCCTGAGGCCACCTGTTCTGTCTTTATCTACAGGCAAGTTAGCATCCAAACAAAACCTCCCCAAGCCATGTCTCACCCAGTGTCCTGCCAGCCCACTCAGCAAGTGGTTCCTCTTAGCTGCAGTTTCCTCACTGCAGATAGCTTCCCTTCTTATCCCAGGGTCAATGTGAAAAGTCTGCCACGGTACAGACACTTGCTAGATGCTGACCAGGTACACTCATAGTTCAAGGGTGCAGTGCTGAGTCCTAAGGTTCATCTGTCCTCTGCAGTGGGAACAGAGAATCACTACAGAGGACACTGTCAACATTCAGGGGATAAAATGGCACAACTGTGGGTATGGCAGCCTCTGTCAGGCCCGAGCCTGCTCAGGGTCCATGAGGAAGTGGCCTTTAGGTAGATACAGAATAACCAGGCTCAAATCCTACTCCTGCTCTTAACCAAGGCCTATGAGGCCAGGCACTTCAACTTCCCTGAGCAGCTAAGACTCCTGCCCAACTCTGGGGTCACAAAATTTCCTAGGGCCAGGGGCCACCTGCTGGCAGTGTGACTACACTGCACCTCTTCCATCACGGAGGGGCTGAGGTTTGCTTCTAATGGAATAAAAATATGGCTTTTCCTGCCCTGCCCTTCGCACCCCACCAGCAATGCTCGCTAGCCAGGACCCCAATTCACAAGAGGATGCGCGGCCACAGGCTTGTTGCAGTACACCCTCAAAACAAAAGAGCTTAAGGAAAGATGCTACAAGGTGGCGAGGAGGCTTACTGGGGACTTCATGTTTGAATTAGAAACCAGTTTGGTATGGGAAAACACTTTCCTCTACAGGCCCAAACCAGCACATAGGTCTGAGGATCAAAGTGGAAATGTACAATGGGCTCCTAAATACTCCAACAGGGATAGAGTGCAGCTCAGTGGCAGATTACCTCCCATGTGAGGCTCTGGCTTCTGTCCCCAGCGATGGGGTAGGGTGGCTAATAACTCTATTATGGATTGCTCTTATTCTTCACTTGTAAAATCTGAAGACTGTACTGCACAGCGGGGATGCAGAAGGATTCCCTAGTGTTTCTCAGTTGTGTCCAGGAAGAGAATTTGCCACAAAGGTTTACATCAGAGGTACCTAGAAAAGGAGGGGCAGATGATTCAGATCTCGATTCTTTCAAAGATGAAGATCTGAGTCAACCAGGTAAGGAGGGTGACAATCTGAGGGCAGGGAGAGCACAAGGAATGGGGAGGGACAGCAGAAGTCCACTACAGCCCCAACCAACCTCACAGTCCTAGACTCACCCAGCTGTGCCAATTTCCTATTTTTCATGTTGGTTTCACATCTGTCACCTTATCATCATGGAGAAGCACATCCCACTGCCATAGCAGCGATGAGCTGGCATAGGCTCCTCCACATCCGCGAAGTCCTCAGGGAACTCTCCTGCATAACCTTGTCTGAAGGCTTATCTATAGCAGTCCCAAATCTTCCATGTCGTCCTCCTACCCAAAAGGAGCACGCGTTAAAGGGCAGTGGGAATCCCAGAGGAAGAAGTGGGGCACAGAGACTTCCCAGTACATAGAGAAGCCTGGGCCTCCATGGCCCACTGACCCAGTGGGGCTAGGACCCTTCCCAGGGCCTGCACCCCTGCCACTCTGCATCTGGCAGCTGTGTTAGAAAGGAAAAAGAACCAGCCAGTTTTCAGAATAAAATGTAGCTTTATTATAGCATAAGAAACACTACAAGCCATGGGGGTGGAGAAAGCCAAACAGGCTCTCCCCTCAAAGGGACACAGAGGAGGTGGTGTAAATATCTTGGAAATAAAATCTTCAATCACGGCACAATCATGGAAGTTTTCTTACAATGTTTCTTTTCAGCTACAGTAAATGAAACAAGTCACTTGAATTGTCAAAAGAACAGCAATTTTACACAAGGAAAGCATATTCACCAAGCTAAGGTAGGATGGCACTCAGGTACAAAGCATGGGGTGCTGCTGGGAGAGGGCCTGGGGCAGGGAGGGGGGACATCGCTTGGTCCTGGGCCACCCTCCCCACTCCTGTTGCTTCACCTGCTTAAATGCTCCCTTCAGATGTCAGATGAGCACAGGTCCATTGCCCTACAATGAAGCTCTGAGATGATACCTGGCATCTCAGAGATACAGGTTCTCTTAACCTTCTGCGAGGCAGGGTGTAAGAGTCTGTTTGGTTATGAAGAACCTTTACTGACTCAGTAGCCAGACCGGGAGCTAAGAGAAGAGATGCCCACACATATCATGTAAAGATGTTCCTTGCAAAGCAAATGCACATGAGAACATCAAATGGGGAACCCTTATGCTGAGGGCCTGCCTGGCATAAAGGCAAGGCTGTGTAGGAATGTGATACATAGAGCCTCTGGCCCAGAGAGTACTTTAAAAGCCAAAACCACAGACCAGGGGAATAATCTGAATATAAAAGTTTAAAATAATGCCTATAAAAAAACCAATGTGGCTCTTTCCACAGATAATGTTCCACGACAAAACAATGCCACTGTACACAAGCAGAGGCAGGTAGGGGGTGGGTGGGAATAGGCACCAGGCCTGGTTGGCACACCAGATTGTTTCACACCTGTTCCCAGACAACCAGTGAGGCCAGGCATCGCAGGGCACCGAAGGAAGGGCTTCACGGCTGATTCCTAAAGGACGACTTCAGCCATATCTCCTTTCCAACAGATTTGTTCCTATGTAAGAGATAACGTCTCTTCCGAGAGAGAGCTTCGCAGCAGTCAGACACACAGAGCCTGGTGGCATGGGGCCAGGCCTGAATATCTGGGACCATCCAAATTCCTCTGAAGATGCTTATTTTAAATCACACATCAACATGTGTTCTTTAAATGCAGAAATACAACAGAGAAATGAACTAAGTAAGAACTGACACACTGTACAACTGTGGCTACTTTGTAACCTGGCACCTCTCTGTGACTGGTGTTTCCTGTGTTCACTGCCTCCAACCCAACTTACCTAGCTATGAACCAGACCTTGCCTGCCTTTTTGTGTGGCCAGTCAGCTAAGGAGTTTTCTCATTTTCAAAAAGTAAAAAACTTAACAATTGAAAATTTTACATAATTCAAATTTCACGGTCCATGAATACAGGACTATGTACTGGAACACAGCATGCTCACTATTCAGCACTACCTGTGACAGAAAAGGTACAGCCCACAAAGCCTATACAGCTTGCATCCTGGCTCTAAGAGCAGTATTGTGGACCTGGCTACAGCATGCCCTGCTCCTCCAGGACGAACACCTCACAACACATACAGACAGCTGTTGCAGACCAGGCAGGGACATGAGCTAGGTTAAAACTGCACTCCTACCCTCAAATCCTCAGGCTGTCATTTCTCAGAAATGGGTGATATGAGTTTAGGTTTGAATTGAAAGATTCATGCAAAAATATCTGACAAGAAACATCCTTAATTAGGTCTGCTGATAAGCTCAATCACAAAGTTATTTTATTCCAATTACAACTGAAATCACTGCAAATGCAGAGGCGCACAACAGGGACCCCTCAGCTTCAAATCCAATGCACGGACACCACACAACCCTGTAAAGGCAACGGGACCAGACCAATGACCAGAGAGAAAAAAGGGCAAGGGGGAGGAAGGGGGCTAATGGAGCCACAGAGAAACTCTCCATTAATCAAAAGATCTTTCTGAGTGGCAGCCGGTTCTCTACAGCCTTTGATGCTGTTCCTGGGGAGGGAAAAGTTGTGTGTAGGGGGGAACAACAGAAATAGCATTAATAAGAAAAGGCTCACTCTAAGAAAAGGGAAAAACCATCTAGATTTTAGTACAAACTTGATAATCATTCACTTTACTATTGCATTTATAAATCCACCACTGTGGGAAAGAGAGAAAGGGAAGGATAAGAAGATGCCTATCCTAGGACACCAGGAAACACCTAGGCTGATGCTTCCACATGCAGGGAGACACTGAGCTGCCTGTGGAACAGACACCTGCAGCCATGCAAGGCCTGGGATCTATAGGCTCTGGAGCTGCTGGACAGCTGCAGGAGATGGGGTGAGGAGGTTACACTACACACTATGACCCCCTCCTGAGAGAAAGGTGCATGCAAGTCCTCTGTCCTCGAATGTCTATTGTACAGAGTCAATGGACCCAGAAGTTTTGAACAGGTGAGCACCTTTTAAACTCTGCATGTGGGAAGGAAGCACCAGGCAGAAGCTGCTCTGTGCAAACCTCATGGAGTTCTGAGGACAGGAGAGCGGGGAGTGAGGATGTCCTGGCCCTTTTCCTACCAGGGTGCATGCCCCACTCAGCTATGTCCTACAAGGCTCTGCAGGGCACGTCCACTCTGGCACTGGCTCCCCGCACAGAGGAACCATGGAGACAGATGCTGGCATGGGAGGTGGTGTCATGGAGTCAAGGAGGATGGGGTCATCTTACAAGGCTTGCCAACTTGTTGCCCTCCTTTTTACTGACCAGCTGCAGATAAGGCTACTCATATTCCAGGAACTGTTTGTGGTAGAACAGCAGGTACCTGAGGAGGCAGAGAGAAAGGGTTTCATTCCAATTCTATTTCGAGACAGTGTGCACTGGGTAAGGATACGTGTGTGGAGGGGATCGACAGGTATGTGACCTCTTGGCTCATGGTTTTAGTTTTCTCACTTTCAAGGAGAGTCCCTTGCTGGCTGAATGAAACTGCCCTACCTGCCTACCCCTTCCTGCCGAGGAGTCACCAGAGCCTCAATGACCCCCTGAAGCTGTCCTTATCGTCACTCCTGCTTATGACAGCCACTGCCCCAGCGTGGGATCTACGGATTACTGCGACCACTAAGACAAGTGCAGCCCCCATGCTCTCACTTCCCTCCAACATGTCTTTCTTGTCAAAACTGGGGGTGAGGAGTAACGGGTGGGGTGGGGATTTTGGATCCAGCTCAGAACCTTCGTGTCCAAATTATCAAGGGTTACTACAGCTGTGGATCCTGCTTCCCATTGAGTTCAGAGTCTAGTGACAAGTGGAGTATGAGAGCTTGGTCTCTGATAGGGCAACAGTTCTCTGTGCTCCAGCAACAAAACCAGCAAAGAAGTAGATAAAGAACTAATAACGTACTCAGTTCACATCACAGTTAACACAAACAATGACTGTGTTGGTCTCCAAGTTAAAGGATGGCAACAAGAGTGCCTCTGGGTCCGGGATATTTGGCCTTATCAAGGTGGTGCTCTATCTAGAACAAGTCCCATTACTTCATATAGAGCTCCAAGGACACTATACACTGTCACAGTTTTGGACCCAGGGGACACAAAGGAGTGGAGTTGCAGCTAGGGCTTCCCGCCAACTGCACAACTGCCTGGGACGTACCCTTCGCTGTCCAGCACGTCTTTGATGCTGGCTTTGGTGATGATGGCATCATCACATTTGAACCACTGGTCTTTGTGCTGCCGGATAAAGCTGGTGTAGTGACCACTCTCCAAGGTCCCTTGATGGTTAACAACAGCAAACAGGGAGTATCTGGTATAGAGGAAGGAGCAAGAGCAGACAGCTAGCTGAAGGCATTGACATCACACAAGCAAGAGGACTGTGCACTGACAGACCCCAAAGCCGAGGAGCTGCAGTGTGTAGGGGCTGGGAGGAAGAGAGCCTGGTTTAGCTCACTCTGTTCTTGTCCAGGACCAGCCGGCTTGTGGGACCACACTTGGTGCAAGTGGTGGTGGCCATTAGTGGGAGATGACTGTCATGGTCCTGTCCATTCCTTTATAGAAGACCAACAGGAAGGACAGTCACAGACAAAACAGGGCCATAATTAAATATGGTGGAGGAGGCGTACATTTCCAGACACAAACTCACACCAGGGGGCTGGACAAGGATAAACTCCCATGGGGAGGGACACTTCAGAGGCCAGAGATTATGTGGGTGGGGCTCTGCCTCATCCAAGGGCAACGGGGAGCTGGGCAGGAAGTAGGTCAATGGCCAGGACAGTGAGAAGCGCTGCCAGTGCTATTTCTATCTGTGCCAACACCCTAAGGCAGGCCAACCTCTTGCCCCCGACCCAGGAAGCCCCACTTACTTGTTGTCATTATTGAGACTGTCTGTGGGCTGCTGGTACTGCCCATTCATCCTGCTCTCTTTGCTGTAATAAATAGTAACAAAATTCAGCACAAGTTAGAATTCACCTGAAGAGACCTGAGGTGCTATGGTTACCACCATTATGCAGATGCTCTGTAAGGGTTCATTTTATGCCCTTTCCTGTTCTTCCAACTATGTTTTAGGCAGAAATAATCCCCATGTTTTGATGAGGCTAATGAGGCTAAGGCTGGAGAGTAAAGTCCTGTGTAAGGACAGACTGGCAAGGGCTCTGGGCCGTACTGTGTCACTGACCCTGGGCATGGGCTGCCCCAGCAGCTTCTGAATCAGTTTTGTGATGGAAGTTTTGTTGTAAACATCATAGGATGAATGTATTCCGCCTCAAAGGTGGAGGGCGAGTTAAATCCATTCAACAACTTTTTTTAGGGTGCTTTAAACTATTTATTTAGCTGAAATGCCATATACTGACTTCCATTTATTTTGATAATCTTACCCCCGAGGCGATTCAGGTCTGCAAGCCAACACAAATATCTCATAACTACGTGGCCACTTGGGTGCACATCTGCACGATACCTCACATCTTTCAGCGAGAAAAACACTAAAGAGTAAAGACCTGACACCATTAACTGGGTATGATGAGAATCTGCTCCAGATACTGTTTCTCTGAGGTAAAGGCCCCACACACCTGTTCTGATCTTTTTATTTTTAAGCAGGGCTTAGGTGTTGCGCGGCAGAGCTACGCCCCCAGCTCATGCCTCACAGGGAACAGGTTCCAGCAACTCAGGCTCCTCCCGCTGGTTCTCACGAAGGGCGCCTCTCTGGGTGGGGTGGGCTGGTGTTTCCACTGAGCCCAGCACCTTTCTCTATGGCGTCCTTCTTTTTCTGATCATTTTCCTTGACACGTTTTAGGAAGCTATCTCGACTCTGTGAGTGTTTAATAAGCTCACTATTAGTCCTCCTGGCAAGTAACTGGCCCTCCACCTGCTTGTTTACGATGCCAACAGCACGCTGGGGAACACCGCAGACGCTCCCAGTTTTGCCGTGGTAACGTTTGTGTGGCGTTCCTTTATGAACAGTACCCATTCCCTCCATGTCTACATCTCCCTTTTCATAGATTCGCATGTATGTGGCCAAAGGAACAACCCCATTTTTTCTAAAAGGCCCAGAGAACATACACCAGGTTCTCCTCTTTCCCTTTGTGTTCGTCATTTTTGGTAAATTACTGAAGATGGTGGTTACAGCTGAAAGTCCATTCAACATCTTCAAAAAGAACTAAGATTCCTGCTATTTCTTCCATTACCAGTGCTTCCGATAAAATGGGAGAGGCTGTGCTGGAAACGAGAAGTTCCAAGCTGTAACATTTTTACCCACTGCAGATGTTAGCAGAAGACATATGATCTTAGTAAGTCCTCTGAGGTCTTTCTATTTACAACAGCTTCATTATCCTTCTGGACATGTAAAATCAAGGTTAGATGGACTCATTTCCCAGGGGTGGGCTGATGGCTTTTAAGTTCTGATGGTCAGATTTTAAGACAGTTACCTAGGAACTACAAAGACAGGGTCATGATGAAAAACACCTCAAAGACGTCAGTAACAATAGGAAATTTACTTGAGATAGTACAACAGGTTGAAATATGGCCCCTAAAAAGGTAATGTCTGCATCTCAACCCCAAAATGGTCTTTGCAGATCTAAGGATGTATGTAGGGAAGAGATCGCTCTGTATTATCTGGGTGGGCCCGAAACCTAATGATAAAACCTGTATGAGAGAAGAGCCAAGAGACTAGACACAGATTCCAGACGTCAAGGCAGTGATGTGGCCACAGAAAGACCTGGAGCCACCAGAAGCCAAAGAGGCAAGGAATGGAATTCTGCCTGGACCTTCTCAAGGATGGGCCCTCTCAGCACTCCTGATTCAGAACTGTGAGAAAATAAGCTTCTGTTTCTGTGGCATATACCGACGTAAAGCAAACATATTACTAAGTGTCATGCCTTCTCATTGGGTTAAATTTTAAGGGATCTATGGTAATGAAGATAGAAAAACAGGAAAATGAAATTCATAACTGCAAAATCAAGTACTTTTTCTGTATTTCAAAATCATTACCATCAACTAGAACACTGTCTTCTCATTGTGATCTCATCTGAATGAGATTCCATGTTTAAAAGCTGATAAAAGATTGCTAGAGAAAAACTCAAAGCACTAGCTGCCTTTCTAAGGAAAGTTGATATACTGAAATGTGTCCTGGATTAAGATTAAGAGTAGGTTCTGGAAGGTGAGGTTTGAATCAACAGCTAGGTTCACCTCATCCTAGAAACTTGGTGCTGGGTCAAGGCTGGACTAGTATGACCCTCTAGCCCCAGAGTTAGGCAGGAACCAATGTTCTCCTACCTGGAAGCCATGAAAGGTGTCATATCCAGTTCCAGGGGAAAAGACACGTATGTGGTGATCTTCCGCCTCAGCTTGGCTGAGTGCTCAAACCGCTAGATACACAGGGGGAGGGGGAAGAGAAAGAATAATTAGGGACAGCTCACGAGTGTGAAGCGGGCCCTCCATGGGTGCTTTTCTGAGTTTCTTGTTTCAATTTTTTATTTGCTTTTTAGCCACATCTAGAGCTTATACGTTCAACACAATATTAATTTATATAAATACAATTTATGGGGTTCAAGTCAAGTCTTGAAATGACAATCAGCGGGGATACAAACAGGACTTCACAGTAGAACTCAGAAAAGTGCTGACAATATACCTGTAACTTGTGGCAGAAAAATGAAAGCTCCAGTCTCCTTTCACCCAACAAAAGATATTCCTCTGACTAAATCAAGGGCCATCAAATCCAGCTATCAAGCTAGGAATCATTTTAAATAGCATTTAGAGGGGACTGGGGATTTAGCTCAGTGGTGCTGCCACT